GAAATTAGTACTTGAACTTACACATTTGATGAATAATGACTGAGACCATAGTGGGAATTAGGTACTGGGTGCATCATGAGCACCAGTCTCTGCCCTCCAGAAAGGGGTTAGCCTAAGCTGGGATCTAGTGGTAAATATTTGCGGGAAAATATATTTGTGATCCTGACCTTTCAAACTCATTAAAACCACCTAGATAGGAATATTAAATCAGATTCAGGACATGAACTATGGGGGACCACTTTGTGGAATGCCAGAAAGCTGGAGGTAGAAACACTGTTTAGAGAAAGGTGTTGCTTTCCATCCTCAATGAGCTTAATACTGTTCTGTTCAAGAACCAGATTAATCTGATGATTGCATGTGTCCATCAGTGGATGAATAAATTGTGGTGTATCAGCATAATGTAGTCTTCAGCCATAAAAAGGAATGAAATCCTGATTAATGCTAAAATTTGGATGAAACTTGAACACATTAAGGTTCTAAGTAAAAAAAGGCAGACACAGAGGCAACCTGTTGTATAATTCCATTTATATGAAATGTCTGGAATAGGCAAAGCCATAGAGACAAAGTAGATTAATGGTTGTCCCATGGGCCAGGGGCTAGAGTAGGAAGCGAAATTGAATTCTGACTAATCACTGCCTTTTTTTTTTTTAATTGTGACAAAATATATATAACATAAAATTTGCCATTTTAAATGTCCAGTTCAGTGTCACTGATCTTTTTCACCTCAGGTTTACATCACCATTCTGGAAGAACTCACATTGAGATACAATTCACAGAGCATAAAATCCATCCTTCTAATTGTACTATTCAGCGGTTTTTAGTGTATTCAGAGTTGTACAACCATAATCACAATCTAATTTTAGAATATTTTTATCAACCACAAAGAAGTCACTCCTAACTTGCTAATACAGTCCCTCACATAGTAAATGGCACAGCTGAAATGTAATCCCCGGTCTGTCCACTTGCAGAGACAATGGACATGGAGTGTCAAGCATCTACAGCAGCTCTGCCCCCAGCTTTGTAGGTGATCACTCATGCATCACAGGAAAGGGGGGAACCACTAGGCCTCCTGTCTTCTTTATCTAGAAACTCATGTGCCTATATCCTTTACCTTATTCTTTCTTCTTCAGAGGATGGACCCTTCTGCCATTGTTACGAATCTCAGGGCCTTGCTCCACTCTTTTCTGCACCCTCCTCAATCTTGCCATTTTAGGATATAAATAGGCATATAGTTTTCATCCACACCTTTTTCAGCTACAAATATAACCGAGTGGTTAAGAGCAAGAGCACAAATCCTGGGCATAAATCCTACTCAGTAGAATGACCCTGGGCAAGTTACTTAACTATGCCTCAGTTTCTTTGGCTATAAAATGAGTGTAATAGCTCCTTCCTCATAGTGTGAGGATAACATGATGCATAGAGAGCCTTTAGCACAGTTAGCCTGGCACACAGCATTCAATAAATGGGGAGCTGCTGCTGTCAGTTTTTCGTGACAGGTATTTTGTTGTCGTCACCCTCAATCCCTCATTCCTTTTACAGCCAGACTCAGAATAGGCCATCTTCAGTTCCTTATCCCCCATCTCCATCTTGATCCACAGTAATGTGTTATTTTGCTGAAATTACTATGAGAATCACTTCTCAGCCTTTTGGCTAAAGAGCAAGTGAAATTACTAGAAGACACCAGTGACTTTGCCAAATTCAGAAAACAGACCCCTTTATTTGGATTCTACTTGCCGGTTTTTACTGCTTACTACTTCTAGAAAATCATTAATAGAAATTCTTTGCACTACCTGGCAATGAAGATTTTTACAGAAGTGAAGAGCTTTAGAGTAAGGCCTAAAAAACTTATAAAATATTGGGGGATCTAGCTGGCTCAGTGGGTTAAGCAGCTGACTCTTGATTTCGGCTCAGGTCATGATCTCAGGGTCCTGGGATCGAGCCCCACGTTGGGCTCCGTGCTCAGTAGGAAGTCTGCTTGAGCATTCTCTCTTTCTGTCTCCCTTTGCCCCTCCCCCCACTTGCACATGCATGCTCTCAAACCTTTTTTTTTTAACAGTTTTTAATTTTTTTATCGTTATGTTAATCACCATACATTACATCATTAGTTTTAGATGTAGTGTTCCATGATTCATTGTTTGTGCATAACACCCAGTGCTCCATGCAGAATGTGCCCTCCTCAATACCCACCACCAGGCTAACCCATCCCCCCACCCCCCTCCCCTCTAGAACCCTCAGTTTGTTTTTCAGAGTCCATCGTCTCTCATGGTTCGTCTTGCTCTCAAACCTTTTTAAAAACTTATATTTACAGTTTTTAAGTGTATAAACTAAATTTAATGATAAATTGAAATTTGTAAAGTAATACACATTTTTTTAAAAGATTTTATTTATTTATTTGGCAGAGAGAGACACAGCGAGAGAGGGAACACAAGCAGGGGGAGTGGGAGAGGGAGAAGCAGGCTTCCCGTGGAGCAGGGAGCCCGATGCGGGGCTCGATCCCAGCATCCTGGGACCATTACCTGAGCCAAAGGCAGACATTTAACAACTGAGCCACCCAGGCACCCCAGTAATACACATTTATTATAGAAAATTTAGAAAATAGAGATACCTCATTTCTGTGAGGCACTATGATAATTGTTAAATGCGTAGGCTCTAGAATCTTCGGTCTGGATTCAAATCCTGACTCCATCATTTACTCCTGACTCTGACCTTGGTAAAGTTATGTATGCAACTTCCATTTCTCCTTTTCCCTCTCTGTAAAATGAGGATGACAATACTTGTCAGATTGTAAATGTGAAATGAGAAGTTTTACATGAAATATGTATTACAGATCTACCACAAAATAAGTGCTCAGCAAATGTTGGACATCACCCTTTTTTCTTGAAACACATTCAGCCTAATTTCTCCTTTCTTTGATGCCTAAATATCGCTAGGAACATCGGTAACTTTACTCTCCAGTAATACAAGAAAGTACTCAGGGTTATTGTAAAATGTGTATATATGTGATTGGATTTTACAGAATTTATGTCTCTGTTTTGGTTGCCATTTTGCTGTTGACTCTTACGAAGTCCTTTGCTGGGTGCTAAATAACTTTGACAGAGTTGTGTAGTGGAAATAGGCTGTATTTGGGGCTGGAGTTTTCTCCCAGAACTCCATGAACCTTTTAATGAGAGGAGGACCAAAAAAAAACCTGTGGACTTTGAATATTTTGGCTAAAGGGCTATATCATGACATTTTACATTCCTGCAGAGTTTTGCCAATGTCAAAGAATTTGTATATTTCTTATCTCAAGTGACATAAAATCAGAGCTAGGTAGAGCATGCCCTCTGTTTAAATAGTACGGAACCAAATCTAAAGTAGGTGAACGTCCTACATGTAGGAGATGAAAGGGTATTATCCCCATTTGTCTTTCAAGGTGACCTGTATGCTGGTCATTTTCATTACCAGTGACATCGCACACACCTCCCAGAATGTGAAGTAGCATCGTTGTGTTTTCATTGTTTTGGCCCATTGGTGGGTTCAGCAACCAGCAGTGTTGTCCTTAGGGGTGCAGCCCTTGTGCAGTAATTTATCTTTGGCTCTTGGAATTGTCCCACAGAGAGGGAAGGCTCTCTACATGTGCATGGGCACATGCTCCTGGATTCTGCGGACTCTGTTGGGCAAATGGCTTTTATTTCTGCCTTCATTTAAGCTAAAAGTACATTCTCCTTCCTGAGTTAACTCTCCCCGGTTTCCACTGGGCACAGTGGAAAAGAACATGGAGGGCATTAAGAGAAAACTGTGCACAGTGAGTGTATTACAAAACTTCATAAAGGCTGATGGATTAGTTCATTGTTCTAAGGAGTTAATAATGGTAAGGACTTAGAGGAGTTCAATCCTTGCATATCAGACAGAACTGCTATTTCTAATGTATTTCACACATTAAAGTCCCAAGAGTTTTAAACTTAAGTAGATAGGTCTTTGAGAAAGGATCCCAGGCCCCTCCCTTGCTCAAATGTGGTAGAAGCCAAATGATGTTTATAGCTTCAGCAAAGAAACAAACAAACAAAAAAACACCCCACTGATCTCAGGGAGTCACATCCAGTGGGAAGAGACTTACCTCCTCCTTTGTGCTCCTTTGAGGACACACTGTATGAAAAAAGCACTGATAAAAAGTCTACTTAAGGTCAAGAAGAATGAATGCACCTTTAAAGTGACAAATCTGATCCTGTTACTTGTCCCCTGCTTAAAAATCTCTAGTTGCATTCTCTTCACAGGATGGTATCCAGATACCTCATTAGGCCACCCTCAGAGTCCTTGAGTAGCTGCCCTTTGTTACACTTCTCTGCATTGCCCAGGTGGTCTTCCTTTGTTGCTGTCTGACAGAGACCTCCTCATTCTTACAGACCCAGGTTATATGTTATCTTTGTGGCCTTAATCCAAAGTTGCTCTCCCCCCTGCTCCCAGGGCATTTTGTGAACTTATAAGAGCAAATGTCAACACATTTACTCTCTACCATTAGTCAAGGATGGGAAATTAAACTTTTTGTCTTTGTATCCCTCCTAGTGTCTGCCAGGCAGCCAGTCAAGTCTTCAACCTCATTTACTGCATGGGAAGTCCCTCAAAGTACTATTACTCAGTCATCCCATGTTCTCCTACCTTGCCTCTAACAAAAGTTCTACTGTTCTGGTTATTTCCATTTTACAAGTGATTTGTTTCCTTTTCTTTACAGGCAGCATAATTCGTTGTATGAGGCGCCTGGAAGAACTGCTTCGACAGATGTGTCAAGCAGCAAAAGCCATTGGAAACACTGAGCTGGAAAACAAATTTGCAGAAGGTCAGTATCCAGTCGAAGCTTTTTCTAATAATTAAGGCAGATCTTTTGAGACTTGAATTCTTGGCCACAACGTAGGAAGACATTTTCAGATGCTCTTCACTGGAATGCCACAGAGGGCCATCCAGTAGTATTTAAACAAAATTTTAGAGTGTCTCTGTGGGAAAAAGTTTCGAGATTTTAGATGTAATCATTTATAAATATTTATTGTGTACTATGTGCAGGCATGGTTTTAAGCACCAGGGGATACAGCAGTGAACAAAAACCCCACAAATCCCTGCCTTCATGGAGCTTACATTCTAGTGTAGGGAGACATGCAATAAACAAGTCAACAATTAAAGTATTTCAGGTGGTGATAAGTCTACAGGAAAGAAAGGAAGAGACAACAGGAATTGAGAGACAGATGAGATGGCCTAGGGCCCCCACTCGAAAGGTGGTATCGAGGCCCTTCATGTATGCTTGATAGACGTAAGCAAGAGTACGAGACCAGTGAGTAGAACAGTAGGAAGGAGAAGAGAGATGATCATGTTACCCCCCAGCTCCCAGCTTTTTCCTGAAATGATTGGAGATTTTGACCCCAGGAGTGCGGTGCTCTGGCAGTTCTTGCTGTTGCATTGTAGGGAAGTCTGTAGATTAGCAAGGTGGAAGTAGGAAGACCAAAAAAGAAAGGATGGCCAGTCCAAAAGGGGGTAGTAATGGAGGCGGGCAGGGGGTCGGAGGGAGTATATAACATGCTTACAGTTTGTTCCGTCTGAATATTTGCCAAGAAAAAGGGCTGTGAGTTAACACATCAAAGAATAGCGGCCACCTTGTCGCTCTGTTAGTTGCTCATGTAGTCACAACCCCTAATGATTTCTGCTAAACAGTGTCCTAAGAAGAGGTGTGCAAAAACTGGGTACTGTTTCCATATGGTTGATGGGGCAGACCTATTTAATCAACCAGAGTTTAAGTTACGTAAACTTACTAAATAATGAAATTTATGTTTGTCCTCCCTTAGTCCAGAAAGAATCTCAAGTGGTAAGTGAAAATAAAGTGTCTCCTGAAGTAGGCTGAGAATTCATGCTTTTGGGTCAACTAACTACTACTTTTGACGGTTTAGTCCTTCCCTCAGTGGGTCTTTGTGCATAGTCGGAGACCCTGTCACGGCCCTGCACACACACAGGAACTGGGATACTTCTGAGTCCAGAGTCATAGGAACAGGAGTCTGGTTTCTAAGTTACCCTCCTCTCCTCTCAGAGGTGCCTGTGAACTCCTCTATCTTTTAGACCAGCAAGGTTTTGTATCATCGAGATTGTTGTATTAACCTCTTCCCCCGCCCCCCCCGCAAGGGAATCACAGTCTTTGTGGTCTTGGAAGCTTAAACCATCTTTTCTTTTCTCTTAGGAATCACCAAAATCAAGAGGGATATTGTGTTTGCTGCCAGCCTCTACTTATAAAGAGTCAGCTAAACGAATGTGGGGTTTTAAATTTTGCACCACCTGATTACAGCTGACTACAAATGCTTACAGGAGTGTTGATTTGGTTCTCCCATGTCAAGGCAGTTGTACTGAAACATTTTAATATGTATCATACTTCAGTCAGGCATCATTCTAAGAAAGCATATTATTGCATACACATTTGTACATAAGCATTACATTTTTTTAATAAAAATGTACAGGTGGGCATTGTTTTAGTGAAAGGCTTGAAATTTTTTTTAATGAACTCAGCGCTATTAGAGAACCATGGTGTTAAATGTAACTATATACACACAGGTAAAGTGGGCGTCCAAGAGGTATAGCAGCAGCAGTCCCTTAAAGGTTTGTACACCATGAAGAAAACTCATCCTCTGTCCTCTGGTTGCAATCCTTTTCCTTTAGAAAGCGGGCCAGTTTTATCTACCTTCAAGGTTGGTGACTGTTCCTAAAGTGATTCCCCGTCGTCGGTGTTTCGTGCAGAGTTGTATGGGAGTCCTCCTCTTTCCTTTCTTTAAAAGAATTTCTCTCCTTGAAGAAATCGGATACATACACTGCCTACAGAAAACAAGTTATACTTAAATTACATCATTAAATACTTTTGTCCCATTCTAAGTTTAAAAACCATATACATAGTTGTAACAAGCAGTTGGCAAAAATAAATATCAACCCCACAACAGAGAAAGGGTACAAAAAAATAAGTGACTAAGAGAAGTTTTGTTAGAAGAGATTCTTTTAAATTGAGAATTGCTTATTTAGGTAGGTTTTGAGTAAATAGCTTTACTCTGTTAGCACTCAGGTTCTTCTGCAATTCATGCCAAAAACAAAATGAAACAAAACACTATAGCCATAGCCTTTTACAAAAGTACATACAGTAAGATTTTTATAACTTTTGCAAAAAGCAACATAGTTAATAACATCAGGTGATGACCCAGTAAAAATTACTGAGCCTCATTATCTGCCTTTGGATAGTTTTCTCCCTGGGACAGGTTTTCTACTTAGTTATCCTAGTGTTTACCAGTAAAAGATGTAGGCTGCCGCCCTGTATACTTACAACTAATACTGCAACCAGGGCTCCTTGAATGAGTCCAGTCAGTACATCACTCCAGTGGTGTTTGTAGTCAGAAACTCGAGAGAGGCCCACGTAGATGGACACAGCAACAAGACCAAATTGCAGTGTGGGGCGTAAGAGTCTTGCCCAGTCTCCCTTCATCCTGGCTTGAAGGTAAAGCTAATAGAGAAGACAGGAATAAAGAGAAGAGTTTAACACCCCAACTGGAAACTTTATATATTTTAAGTATCACCACACCCCTAAAGGTGTGTGTTTTACATGATCAAGTCATTATATATTAATAATCATTACTATTAATAACCATTAAATAACCAGAGTATAAATTACATCTAGAATAGGCTGTAGGCAAGCATTCTTACACTCATCAACACCTGAAACTTCATCCTTTTAAATAAGCCAAACAAAAAGTGATTGCCCCAGAGACTTGTCTTTAGAACAGTTCATTACTGTACCTGTCTAGCTAGACTGCTTTCCAAACTGTAAACAGGGCAAGGGGTTCCCCGTGTTTAGGACTTTCTTGGATTTCAAGGGCAGCCCGTCCTCTGGCAGAGTCTGTGCTACAATTCTGATTCCCAGCCAAGTTAGCCTTAGTTCCAAGTCTTGGGATAAACTGCTAGCATTCTGAGCACGGGGGTGTCCCTACCCTGGGCCAAGCTACTATGTTTTCCGCCCAGTCTGTCTAGAGACAGAGTTTAATTGATTCGGTTTACTTGAGAGTTCTCGCCTCAGGTTATTTTAAAGGGCAGTGGAGACTAAATAATCTGTATTTTAAGTAAATCTAATACTCTGCCTAAATAATACAGGTTCTACTTGAGTCCTGATCCAACAGTGAATTAGTCTTTGAGTAGCACGTGTGCCCTTTAAGTTCCATGACTTTTCCCTACACTCCTCAGACTTGAGAGTATCTCCTTTTGTGTGTCAGCCTGCCCGACTTGGGTGCATCCCTAAAGACTGTGATATAGAAGGGTTTCGATAGTTTTCCTATCACTTCCTTTCAGCAACAATTTTTGCCTTATTTCTGTCTAATAAGAATATGCTTTTAAAATCTATTTTAAAAGTTGTTTGATAATTTGTGACTCATACACTTAATTAAATGCATTCCTCAGAAAACAATTTATGTGGCTGTGCCCATAGACACTGCCTACTTGAAACAGATCCATTCCCAGTTCCTTGTGCATTGTGAGCGAGCATTTAGTTCTCAGCGGCTGGCAAAAACTCGGAGACTAATTTTATCGAGTATTTTTACAGTAGAAACATCTAATTGTAAAAGAGCATACCAGTTGTTCAATTGAATTGCACTCATTAGCTGGTTAAAGTACTCCTGGCTTTCTGCAGACACCCTCCTTTCCTTTTTCTTTGTTGTTGAAGCTATAAAAATGTAAACAGTAAGAGGCTTGTCTCAAGATTCTGGAGTTGGGAAGATAGCTGGTTCTGGTTGAAGCAAAGTTTGCATTTGGCAACTGAATCCAATTAGGTAACACAACCATGCCAGTAATATTCCCCTCACTAGTTTTGTCTTCATTGGAAATGTTTTACTCATTTCAAGGAGAATAGTACCTTGACTGGGGCTGAAGCCAAGTTTTGGATGTTACTCCCCAAAAGTTCAGCTGTCCCTCTTTTGATTATTTAACTGCCTTTTCATATAACTGTTAAAGGCATGGGTTCTTCAGACTATAAAAATATATACCTCTGAATTATAAATACTTATAGGAATGCACCGTAGGGAGAACTGCACCTACCTCTGTTAAGGACATAGCGAGAAAAAAACAATACCAACTCTAAAATGGATTTACGCTTAGTCCTAGTTTGTGCTTCCAACCCAAAGAAAACTCAGGACTTTTCAAGGTCCTTCCCTCACTTCGGCTTCTAAAATCCTAACAGTATTTTCCTTCCAAAGACCCTCACTTTAACTCTAGGTAGCTTGCCCCTAACTAATATTCACTTACGGATTAGTACTCAAGCTTCTGTGTACTTTAGGTGACCTTCCACCCTCAAAGTAGCTAGTTTCTCCTTACACATCTACCCAAGTATAGATGTTACCCCCTTCTCTGGTGACCCAGAGATGATTTCACCCTGAGGGGGGTACTAGGAAGCCCCCCACTGTGGTTCTACACCTAACCTTACCCTCCCCTCCAGGCTCTGGCTCTGATAACCAACGGCCGTGGCGTGTACGCAGGCTGCCGTCACAGAACAGTTCTCAGCTCGGGGTGAGGCTGGCTGAGTGAGTGTGCTTCCTTTTCGCCTGCCGTTTCCTCAGTGTAGCTCTGGGAAGGCCGGGCATCACCTAGCTACAGCCCTGTTCACGGCTGCGAGGACGCCTCCATTTCAGTAGACCCCACGGAGCTAAACACACTGAGTTTCTTGGCCCTTGGACCACTTGAGTTCCACAGCTGACATGCCAACTCCAGACGGGGACAACTGTCCTCCCGTGCTGCCAGCCAGAAGTCTTTCTTACGTCAGCAGCTTCAACAGAGCAGACAGTGTTAAGCAAAGCTTTTCCTGGGTCCTGCAGTGCAGATCTTCTAATATCTCACCCTCTGGAGGCACTAGAGATTTGACTTCCTCTACCGCTCATTTATAACTGCTTCCCAAAATCATTACCTCTTGCCTGTTGTCTCCTTCTCCATTTTTTGACTTTGTGGGTTTATCATTTTTTATTCTATTCCTTGTCCTTTTAGAGGAAAGAGGACAGTCGATGTACCTTTAAACACAAGACTGTTGAGGGAAGTACATGTTCGTAACTGCCTCAGAGAAGCAGTGTTGGAAGCTCTCACCACTGTTCTACGCGTACTAGATTTAGGGACAGAGCTGCTTTAATGCTAAAGCTTATAATAAAAGGCTCTGTAAGGCCCTGCCTTTGCAGACTCCCCTCTCCCCACACGTGTGTTTGCTAATCACGTACGCACCGAGCACATTCAAGTAAGGAAGTCCATCGCTTCTCTCTTACAACTCAGAACTGAGGAACTCTACATCCAGTGTTGTGCACGGTATGGGAGGGACTCAGTGGCAGTGTCAGCGACTTACAAATTCCCCTCCTGGGCGGAACTGTCCCTCCACAGACACAGTGAAGGGGGAGACCCATCCGGGCCACACCACTCTGCCTTCTCTTCAGAGAGGGCACTGAAGGTGACCTCTGACAGGCCCGAACCTGAGATCTGCTGGGCCGTATTCTCCCTCCGGAATTTGCAGAAGGATGAACGGGTTCTCTTTTTTCAGAGGGTCTAGAAAGAGCACCTAAAGGATACAGGATAGGCTACTTGCAAACTAAACTTCGGAGAAAGCAAAAGTTATGGTGAGGCAAGGACAGCAAGCCCTGAGGAGAGAGCAAAGGATGGGGTAGAGTGGCAGCCACACCAGGAAGCCCGGCGGCCCGTGAGACAGGTGGAGCAGACAGGTGGAGCAAGTTCAGTTCCTGGTGGTATGCTAGTTCTAGCTCATCGAGGTCTTTACTATAAACCATTTTGGGGGCGCCTGGGTGGCTCAAGTCTGTTAAGGGTCTGACTCTTGATTGCGGCTCAGGTCACGATTTCAGGGTCCTGGGATTGAACCCCACATTGAGCTCCCTGCTCAGCAGGGAGTCTGCTTGTCTCCCTCTCCCTCTGCCCCTCCCCCTGCTCACGTGCACACACTTTCTCTTTCTCTAAATAAGTAAATAAATCTTTTTAAAAAAAATTTTTTTTTTCCCTCTGGGAGATCTAAGTCAGTTGCTTACAACCAAAAGATAAAATCCCAATTACCAGCCACCTGTGTTCAATTAAAATCCCATTTTGTTCTTAATTTGGATTTCTGTGACTTGAATGATGAGGAGTTTTACTTTTAAAAAAAAGTTTAAGTTTCAATCGAGAAGGAAAATAGTATTTATACACTGGGGTTCACACCGTGAGGGAAAAAAAAATTAAATCCCATGAGAACAAACACATTAAATGTCCACTGAAGGCCCTGTTACAAGAGCGGTCTGGCATTGGGTATGGGATTTACTTCCATGACTTCTTTCTACGTACAGTACAAGGTGTGAACCCCTACCCTAAGCCAAAAATGGTTCATCTACCCATCTCTGTTGCTGCTCTCAGGCCCATTTAATATTCTTCTCTGAGCATGCTTCAGTTTGGCCTCAACTGACCTGCCCCATGGGGATTTTGGTCCACTAGTGGGGGACATACTGCCTAGTGACAAATTCTAGTGTCTGGATCCCTCCTGATCCTAACATCCAACCTTCTGGTGAAAGCAGCTCCGAAGCAGAAAGTTCCCAACTAGAAATAAGAGAAAGGGTAGACAAGGCAGAATGGACCAACCTGCAGCTGGTCACTGAGGTACTCCCTGGAGGCAAAGCAAACAGGTCTGTGAAAAGAACAACTGAGCCTATCACTAGTGTCATCCCTGCTGTCACAGGAAAAGGCAAGAGGCATGTGGGGATCCAGGAGGCACAAACTGAGAATAAAGTTACATCATGTACTTCACCAACGTTTACACTGCTCCCTGCCCACTTTTTCATCTGTTCAAAAGGCAGGATAGACATCTACCACAGGAGAACTTAGGAGAGGAAATGAACCTCAAGGCCTCAAAAGGAAACCACAGTGAGGCCTATCTCGATTTCTCGCTGTCTCTCCAGCAAAGGAACTATTATTTTCCTGACCAGACGGTGTATCAGAGCAAGAGCTCAGGGCGAATCAGATACAACCAATGATTGTGCATAACCCAGATTTAGAAAAAAAAAATAGTTTGATAATTAGCCTTAGGGATAATCCACCAATATCCTCCAGGAATGTCCTCACTAAAACCAGGCATCACTACTGGCCCTTGTGAAAAGGAAGGTTCCAGATGTGGTTTTTCCTTCCAACAAGAGCAAACTGAGCAAGGGTAGGCCCTGAGCCACTCTTCCACATAGGGCTTCTGGTCAGGAAACTCTTAACTGCTTAGTGTAGGGTCAAGTGTTCAGTCTCTTAAAGTGTCCAGTCTCTTAGCAAAGTAAAACCTATTGAAAATGGGATGGAAATAAGTTACTATGTCCAATACTCTTTAAAGAAATAAATAAAAGCTTCTTAGCTAAGATATACTAGAGATTCATAAAGGCCATTTCTTATTCCTTAAGGCAACAAGGTCAGAAAATCGATTTGCTCAAAATAACCAGAGAGTCAAAGGCAGAGGGGATTGGAGGAAGA